CATAAGGTTGGAAAGGGCCTACAAGATCATCTTGTCCAACCATCCTCTCATTACCCTTGCTACTACAAGCCACTAAACCATATCTTGTAGCTCCTCATCCAGATAAGGAGGGCTCTTACCAGCCAGCACTAGGCAGCACTTCGCAGTTTCCTAAGTTTGTTGTTGTATTTCGGATGTTTTCATGAAGTATATTAGAAAGCAAGAAAGTGCTTACTTATCACTGCTTGTAATTTCTTTTGCAAATGTAGACAACACCTAATGCTTGATTTTGGTTCAGCTCTTGCTGCTCCCACTTCTTTTACTGTTTACAGATAAACTAAGTCCCATCTAAAATTCAGTAAAACCCACCAAAGCTCTTCTTGTATGAAGTTATTGTCTTTATGAGCCACCACGGCATCATTCTCCACCTGTAAGCTGTAGTTCATGGTGAAGTCTCATTCTAGTCTTAGGACAGATGCTGTGAAGATGATACTGTGGGGTTCCTCCTATGCGCCTCAGTGAATGAATTCGACATACACTGAAGTAAAGCAGGAAAAACAATGCATGTGGTTAAATTAAGTCTGTAACCATAGAAGAGATGTTGGGCACCTCCCCAGCACAGCCGATGTGCTGGTCTTACAAACCAAGTCTGCACTGTAATCCAGTACTGTCTCTTACAAACACACTGACATAATAGCCAGACTTGCTGGCAGCAAGCATGTAGCTGAGGGGGGAAACTGTATGGTTTTGGCCAGGTTTCCTTTATGGAAAAAATGCCTTCTAGACCTGACAGAGTGATCAGCCCCAGCCTGAGCAAGTCATTCAGGACTGGTAGGACAGAACTTAGGCACATAGCTCGACAACAGTAGCAGGGCCACTTCTCTGGAGTGTTCAGCAGCTGTTGGTATCCCAGCCCATTTGAAGCTTCTAGGAGGGAAGGGGAAGCAAAAAGGCCCTTCAGCCTCAAACCCTCAGGAAGGGGGACAGGGAGGGCTGGTACCTTTCCACTCACCTCTTCACCCTTGCTGGCAGTTTCTAGCACACTGCTCATGAAGGTTAAAGCCAAGTCTTTAGCTGCTCTCTCCTCACTACTGTGTCTTCCTGTTCTTCAAGCTGACTGATCTACAGATGTCTCCATGTCCTTAACCCCACTGCAGCACTCCCACCAGCTTTCCTTCTGCTGACAGCAAAAGAAAGGAAGGAGAGGGAAGAGCACCTGGACCCTCATGGCAGCAGAAGGTCTTGCATTCAACATATGACTTGAACTGTATGCTTTGATATAATAGGTAGGGAATCACAGAATGACAAAATCACAGGATGGCCTCTGTGGGAAGGGACCTCAAGGATCATGAAGCTCCAACCCCCCTGCCACATGCAGGGCCACCAACCTCCCCATTTAATACTAGACCAGGCTGCCCAGGACCCCATCTAATCTGGCCTTGAACACCTCCAGGGACGGGGCATCCACAACCTCTCTGGGCAGCCTGTTCCAGCACCTCACCACTCTCACAGTAAAGAACTTCCCCCTGACATCCAACCTAAATCTTCCCTCCTTCAATTTAAAACCATTGCCCCTTGTCCTGCCATTATCTACCCTTGTAAAGAGTTGAGAAACTTGTGGGAAAAGGAAAGTGCTGTGCTGATATCAACAATGCTTTCCACTGACAAGCAGCAGTTAAGATCTGCCGTCACAAAGCACTAAGCGGATCTGCCTTCACCCCCACTGTGGGCTGGATGCTCAGCCCATAAGACTGATACTGATGGCTGTAGATTATATAACTTAATCCAAATAGTTATGTTCATCTCTAAAAAAAAGATAAGCAAGCCAAGACAGCAAATGCAGGCACTGGGCTCAGAGTGCCTAACTATTGTCTTGTCATTGTTGTCACTAGCTCACATTTCATTACTAAAGTGTTGTGTTGTGAGTTCCTCCCCCTCCCCCCTCTTTTCCTTTTTGCTTGTTTTGACTCTAAATGCAGGTGCTTTCAACCTCCTGACAACCTGGAATGCAGTTAATGCTCTAGATGACACATTAAGGACGCGTGGTGTGAGTCTCTGCAGTGCTCTCAGCCTTTAGGAGAGCCCACGCAGGCCGATGTCACTTAGCAAACAGCAGCAGCAGTGAGATGAGAAGCCCGATAACAAACCGTTTGTGAGGGTCAGGATGAGGCAATACCACTTTGCAGTCCTGCTGAAATTCTGGTTTAGCTGCTGAGGTATAAGAGTTAGACAGGAGACAGAAAAGCAGGAGCAAGCTTCGACTCAGCATTATTTTTAGTGGTTAGAAATAACACTGAAAATGCACAGATTTTGTTGATTCATTTGGCACCTGTGCAGATGTAGATGTGCCCCATCTGTCCCTTAAAGAAGTAGTTTTCCTGGATGTGGAAAAGAGAAGTGCCATCAAGCATCAGGCTTCTGTGAAAGCTCTCTTCTCAGACCCTGTGCAGTTGGTTCCACCCTCTAAAAGCTGAGGCATATAAAATACTCCATGGTGCTTCCTACCCTGTTCAATATGCACGTGTAAGCTACGTTACCAGGTTGTATTGTCACAGCTATGATAGTTTATTTTTGCTTTTCCCACACTGCAGATCCAGTTATTCCACACTTCTGAGCCTCCTGATAGGCACAGCATGGTGACAGTGCTGATGTGCTTTCTTCTTGTGTTGCTCAGCTTCATCCCTGGCATTTCTTTCTCTCAGATTAACAAACAGGTATTTCTTTTGTTTTCCAGGGATGGGCTTTCTCAGCCCTATAGGCTCACAGGTAACTGTTGGGAAGTGAATTGCTTTGCACTCTGCATAGCATCCTGGCTACCTGTACTGCTAGGTAAAATTGCACACATCCCCTATGAACAGCCTGGCAATTCAGGATCATAGGTAATGATCTCAGCATCTCCAGATAGGCTTTCAAATGGGAAAATCTTTAAAAAGAAAACAAAGATGTCTTCTGTTGTTGTTGTTGTTGTTTGTTTGTTTGTTTGTTTGTTTTAATTGATAGAGTCCACCTTCAAATTTTCTCTTTTTATGAGATCTCATATTCTCATTTATAAGTTAATGACTGGGAGATGGGTTGCTCAGGGCCCCACGAGGCTAGCTCCCACTGTTCTGTTACGGCAAAAATTATTTTGTGAGAGGATGTGTCCTACTTTAAAAATGTAGCCTAGGAGAGATAGGGAGAGTTCTTGGCAGAGACTTTTGCATAAAGCAGTGTGATAAAGTAGCTAGGGAATATATTGCATGCTAATAAAGTTTGTCCTTGAGTGTGAAAAGTGAGTGCTTTGTGAATAGCAGCTGTTTTTTTTTAGCTTTTGATACTCCAACGTGACCCATAATGAGACATACATAGACCAGCATGTCTTTTCAGTCCTTTCCAAAGAGCTGCCAAAACTAAAGAGATTTTTTTGTGACCAGTAAGGTTGGCTGCAAGGTTTGTTTGTTTTTCACTCTCCTGCTGGTTCCTACTATTCTCTTACTCCCACATCCTATCTGATTTGTTTTCAAACGCATTCTTCAGCCCTCTCCTTCCCTACCTAGTGTATCATGTTCTGCTTTCTGGCTTCCTTCTCTTTTCTCATAGCTTTTCATTCCAGTTCCTGTTCCCTCTGGTCCCTGAGGGATGAGGAGTGAAACATTAATAGCTGTCTGGCTTTATGAGCTTAGAGTTCAGGTGAGTTCAGGAGATATCCCTGGTGCACATACTGTGTCCCAGAGCTCTCTGCAGCACTTCATTCCTGGGGCAGCAGAGCGAATATGTGCCCATGCTTCATTCACTACCACTTACAGGGCAGGAGTTCAGACAGCACTCCTGATAAAGTTGGTCTTTGCTGAAACTTGGGGGTTTCAGTTGCTACCACTGAAACTGTGGTGGTGAATTGCTCTGCTGTTATCACTTCACTGTGTGTTACAGTTACAAAGAAATTTGTTTCATGAATGGGTGAGCAAAGCAAGTGGATTTGAATCATTACATTACACTTCCTTATACCAAAGTTGGTGCTTTGACAGTGGTTTGAAAAAATGTGTCATTTCACAGTAAATTCACCATACATATCTGTCTTCTTTTTAAAATCATACTGCTGCTTTTGCATTAATGCACTAGTAAGGAATATATCCCTCTGTTACTTGTCACTCTTTATTTTTTATGTCAGTGTATCTGCAATATGAATAGATATAAAATAGGAAGTGTGCTTCATTTACCTATTTAAATGTTGCATGGGTAATGGCTAATGCAATTTTCCATGCTGGAAAATGTAGGTCTGTATTATCTTTCTGAGGATAGATCTGATCTGTGCTTTTGTATTTCTTGAAAATACAAAGGTTAGTTGTAGCTAAAGGTTTGATGACTCTTGTAGTCAACAACATCTGCTACTGTAAATGGCAGTGTGACAAGGAGAACAAACCTTTTAACATCTGTTATCACTGTGCCAGCAAATTTCTCTTACTGCTAATTTCTTATGCCTTTGATGCCCAGATGGTTATCAGTCATGTGCTAGCATAATCTTCTGTCCAGCTGCTATATTTATCATTAGCATTTATAAGCACTTGTGTATAGTTACATATAGCAACTGGTTTTCCTTTTTTTATCTTATTTTCACACTTTTATATATGTGAGACATTTATGAGGAAGCCATCATGCAAAAAAAGTGAGTGAAATGGATTGGTGAGTAGATAATACCTATCCTGATAGGATATGATACATCCTTAGCAACGTCATCCTAAATGAGAAATAAATGCAAAGGAGTTAAAAACTGATGTCTCTCCTATCTAGACATGTATAAAATTTCAGTGTCTGAATTCAGGATGATTTGATACAGTTTTCAGTTAATTTTCTAATTTAAGATATTTTGGCTGGGGAATGTAAATGTGGTAGGTTGTTACATGCTGAAAGGTGACAGAGGTTATTGATGGGTATAAAAAGAATCTTGGTGAAAGTGAATTAAAAATAGAGAATTACACCAAATTGAGAAATGCACCAAATACACATATATTGTAGTTTAATCCTTTTGTTCTAACTTGTTTCAGATTGAAGAAACTTCTTGAGCAGGAGAAGATCTATCAAGCCCGAAAGGAGAAAGAACACACAAAGAGACTCAATAAACTAAGAGAAGAACTAGTCAAGCTCAAATCATTTGCACTCATGCTGGTGGATGAGAGACAAATGCATATTGAACAACTTGATCAACAAAGCCAGAAAATACAAGATTTAAATCAAAAACTAAAGGAAGAAGAAGAAAAGCTTAAAATTGTTACTGCAAAAGCAAAAGAAGATGGACAAAAGCTGATGCGGTTAGAAACGGAACTTGAACACAAAACATCGTCATTTTCTCAGGAACATGAGGAGATGACTGCTAAACTGGCTAATCAGGAGTCACATAACAGACAGCTAAGGCTCAAGTTGGTTGGGTTGACTCGCAGAATAGAGGAGCTAGAGGAAACAAACAGAAGTCTTCAAAAAGCTGAAGAGGAACTTCAGGAACTAAGAGATAAAATAGCAAAAGGGGAATGTGGGAACTCTAGTTTAATGGCAGAAGTTGAAAATCTCCGCAAGCGTGTACTTGAAATGGAGGGAAAAGATGAAGAGATCACAAAAACTGAATCCCAGTGTAAAGAGCTGAAAAATAAACTGCAAGAGGAAGAGCACCATAACAAAGAGTTGAAACTTGAAGTGGAAAAGTTGCAGAAGAGAATGTCAGAACTAGAGAAACTGGAAGAGGCTTTCAGTAAAAGTAAGTCTGAATGCACTCAGCTACACTTAAACTTGGAGAAAGAGAAGAATTTAACTAAGGATTTGATAAATGAATTGGAACTGGTGAAGACTCGAGTGAAAGACCTTGAGGCATCAGAAAGCAAGTTGGAAAAAGCTGAAATAAGCTTAAAAGATGACTTAACAAAGCTGAAGTCATTTACCGTAATGTTGGTTGATGAACGGAAAAATATGATGGAAAAAATAAAACAGGAAGAAAAAAGAGTTGAGGGTCTAAACAAGAATTTTAAAGTTGAACAAGGGAAAGTTATGGATGTAACAGAGAAACTGATAGAAGAAAGTAAGAAATTTTTGAAACTGAAATCAGAAATGGAGGAAAAGGTGTCTGTTTTGACAAAAGAAAGGGATGAGTTAGTTGTTAAACTGAAAAGTGAAGAAGAAAAGTCCTCAGAACTGAGCTGTCGATTTGATCTGTTAAAGAAAAGACTTGATGGTATGGAGGAAGTGGAGAGAGAAATTACAAGAGGTCGAGCCAGAAAAGGACCAGAGCATGGCTGTCAGGAGGACAACAAGATTAAGGAACTCACTATTGAAATTGAAAGACTGAAAAAACGGCTCAAACAATTGGAAGTGGTTGAAGGAGATTTGATGAAGACAGAAGATGAATACGATCAGCTAGAGCAGAAATTTAGGACTGAGCAAGATAAAGCTAACTTACTTTCTCAACAGCTGGAAGAGATGAAGCTCCAGATTGCCAAAAACAAAGCAATAGAAAAAGGTGAAGCAGTAAGCCAGGAGGCAGAGTTGAGGCACAGGTTTCGTCTGGAAGAGGCTAAAAGCAGAGATTTGAAAGCAGAAGTTCAAGCTCTTAAGGAAAAAATCCATGAACTGATGAACAAAGAAGACCAGCTTTCTCAGCTCCAAGTGGATTATTCAGTTTTGCAGCAAAGGTTTATAGAAGAAGAAAATAAAAACAAGAGCATGGGGCAGGAAGTTCTGAATCTAACGAGAGAGTTAGAACTTTCTAAGCGTTACAGCCGCGCTCTGAGGCCCAGCATAAATGGACGAAGAATGGTTGATGTTCCTGTGACATCCACAGGTGTGCAAACAGATGCTGTGAGCAGTGAAGCAGCAGAAGAAGAAACTCCAGCTGTGTTTATACAGAAATCCTTCCAGGAGGAGAACCACATAATGAGCAATCTGCGACAGGTAGGTCTGAAAAAACCTATGGAGCGTTCTTCAGTGCTTGAGAGATACCCTCCAGCAGCAAATGAACTTGCAATGAGGAAATCTTGGATACCGTGGATGAGAAAGAGGGAACATGGGGCTCAGGCAACTCCAGACAAAGGAGCCCGAGCCCACAGTGGCACAGCACATCCTGGGGAGGTTGTCCTTTCACCAAAGCAGGGTCAGCCTCTTCATATTCGGGTGACACCAGACCATGAGAACAGCACAGCTACTTTGGAAATAACCAGCCCAACCTCAGAGGAATTCTTTTCAAGTACCACTGTCATTCCTACTTTGGGAAATCAGAAGCCACGGATAACCATCATTCCCTCTCCAAATATTATGCCTTCAAAAGGAAAAGGTAGTGAAAGTCCATTGGGCCCTGACCGTTCCATGTCTCCAGTCACTATAACGACATTCTCCAGAGAAAAGTCTCCAGAGGGAGGTAGAGTACCTTTCGTTGACAGACCCACATCACCAATTCAGATTATGACAGTATCAACATCCGCAGCACCAGCAGAAATCTCTGTTTCTCCGCAGTCACAAGACATGACCATGGGAAGGGCTGTTTTCAAAGTAACACCAGAAAAACAAACTGTCCCATCTCCAATCCGTAAATACAACACCAACGCCAATATTATTACAACAGAAGACAACAAAATCCACATCCATTTGGGTTCCCAGTTTAAGCGCTCTCCTGGTGCTGCACCAGATGGTGCAAGTCCTGTGATAACAGTCCGACCAGTGAACATAGCAGCTGAAAAAGAAGTTGTCACTGGTACTGTCCTACGGTCACCCAGGAACAACCTGTCCTCACGGCCTGCAGCAAGCAAGGTGACAAGTACTATCACTATAACACCTGTAACTACGTCCTCCACACGAGGAACGCAGTCCGTGGTAAGCAGTACAGTCCCATTTTGTAACCTTCATGGTCAGGAGAAGGGAGAGCATAGTTTGGGATTAAGACACCAAAAGGGAAAGCATGAGTGGGAAGAGAAGAAACTCTAAGCTGCCATACATGTGTTTCTGATATAAGCTCAGCTATAAGATCTGAATTTGCCTATGATGGAAATGAGTAATTTTATGCCAGCATTGAACAATGATACAGAATCACAGAATGGCTTGGTTTAGAAGGGACTTTAAAGACCACTTGGTTCCAACCCCATGCCGTGGGCAGAGTTGCCCCCACCAGATCAGGCTGCTCAGGGCCCCATCCAACCTGGTTTTTAATGCTTCTCTGGGCAACCAGTTCCAGCACCTTGCTACCCTCTGAGTAAAGAATTTCTCCCTATTATCTAAACTAAATCTTACCTCTTTTAGTTCTAAACTGTTCCATGTTGTCCTATCACTATCTGCTCATGTAAAAATTTGGGCTTCTTCCTGTTTATAAGTGCCCCTAAATATACTTTTGGCATTATCTCCCAAAAGAGTAACTTTGAAAGGAAGTCCATTCAAAGCTACTGAATATAATAGAAGTCCTGTAAAATTCCAAGTGAGAAAGAGACAAAGAATGATAAAGATGACAGCAATTTCTGCTAAGTACAAATTCTGACTTCTGATAATACTCTTAGTGGCTTTTGGCCCAGCTGGAAAGTCCTTAGCATCTGATAGTGCAGGCTGATATTTCTTTGGTAGAATATCATTACATTTATAACTTAATTAACATCTGCTGTAATACTGGACTCTATAGAAATGAACAGCCAGACCTGGTACCATTGTTTTGTGCTCCAAGTCTCTTTCAGCCAGTGAATACCAAAGTTCTTTCTGTCCCACCAACGTTACCGACGTTTCTAAGTGCTCTCACTACCACATTTTTTGCTGCTTTCTTTCTATGTTGGTTCCCTTTTTTGATAATCCTGTCCCTCCCTTAAGATTTACTAGGACTTCAACATCATTTTGCAGTGTTTTAGTTGGGAAAGAAGAATTTGACCAACATACAAAAGCAGCAGTACTGTATTAATCCAAAAGCTTATTTAGCTGCCTGTAGCAGTTAGGGTAAGATTATTTTAAGTGGATAAACAGAGAGTAATGTTTTCCTCAGTGTCTGTTCCCGGTTTTTGGCAGTAGGTGAGTATTTCTTTCTGAACCAGAGCCTGTAGCCACCTTTGTGTTTAACAGACTGTGGTAGAGTTTTCTTCTATCTATTCTGTGTTTTGAACTGGCTTATTCTGTTGTTTCCACAAGATCATAGGGCAGTGAATTTCTCTGTGGGCTGTAGAAAAATGCTGTTTTTTTGTTTGTTACCTTTTATTGCAATACCTTAATTGGTTACAGTCTCTTTCTTTTATCTTGACAAATACTGAACAGTCATGCCCTGTTCATTTGCCCATGTCATTGAGGAGTAACTCAGGTAACATATTCTTTAGTCATCTCTGTCCAAGCTGAAATGTCAAAATGTATTTAAAGTACCTTCAAAGATACAGAAACACTTCTACGCTTCTAGAGAGATGCTGCCATTCCCATTTAAGGCCAATGGCTCATAGAAACCTGCATTTGCCTTGCTGATCTATTTGGGATTGCATGTGCAATCTCTGCTCAACATTGGAGATGTTTTACAGGGACTTCTGTATACTAGAACCAACTGCTCATTTTTTAAAGTCTCAAGTCAATTCATTTATAAACTCCTTTGTCTCTCAGAAGTTTGGAAAACCTTTTTTTGAGAATTCCCCATTCTTTTTTACTAGATGTTTGACTCTTCTGTGGTGATGCACTGGACTGTGGCAGACAAAATGTTTTTTCTTTTGTTTTCATCTGGATAAAATGTAGTTTCTTTCATCACTTCATCCCTGATTTGGAATGTAAGGAAATAGCTCAACCATATGATTTATTTTATCTTATGCTTTCCTTTGTATTTTAAGGCCCATGTCAGATTAGCAGGGAACTTCTAACAAACTCAACTGTACTTTTTCCTCCTTAACCTCTGAAAAAAACAGAAGTTGTATATTCACCATCTGTTTTGCAAATGGCTGATTTATAAACACCTGCAACACCCCTGGTCAGGAAAAACAAGGTGTAATCACTTACTGACCTTCGAAGAAACCAACATGGGTAATGTTTTGAGGGTATGAACTCATAAAATCAAAGAAGACAAACTGAAACAAAGCTGCATTCTCAGCTCATTGCTTTTGCTTTTTTTTCTTACCTCTTCTCTTACAAGGTAGCTTTTACAATATCCTAATTCAGTACAAAGGGGAATTCTGAAATTTCTAGCTCTCATCTGTCACTACAAGTTTGGAGTTACTATTTTTATGTTTGAAAACATTTAACTCATTTTCCAATTTTAATTTATAGAGTTATCTTCAGTACTGCAGGTGAAAGTAATTCTAGAGTGCACATGTGGTGCTGTTCAAGGTTCAGCCTGTGGTATCTGTGCCCAAAAATCTAAAACCAGAGACAGTGGCTTCATGGTGGAGCAGATGGGGAGTTGAGGGATATTACTGTTGATTAACAGCAAACTGTACGGTAGAGTAGCTGCAGTTTTCTGTCTCTCTTAGTTAGGCCTTCTGTCTGTGACAGTTTTGACATAGAGAAAAGGGGACCACAGTCCAAAGAAATGCCAGGCACCTGAAAGTAAGTTGGAAAGGTTTTGAGCAGTCAACCAAAAAGATCAGTCAAAAGAGGTACCTCTCTGTGACTGTCTCCCCTGGCATCTGAACTCACTGGCTTCTCTGAGTAGGGCCTCAATGTTTTGGGGTACTTCATAGAATAACAGTCTCATTTGAGCTGGAAAGGACCCTTAAATTTCATCTAGTCCAACTCCCCTGCAATAAACAGGGATATCTACAGATAAATCAGGTTGCTCAGAGCCTGGTCTTGCCTTAAATGTCTTCAAGGATGGGGCACCCACCACATCTTAGGGCAACTTGTTTAAATGCCTCATCACCTTTACTGTAAAAAACCTTTTCTTCATATGCTCCTCTCTTTTAGAGGCTCTCTTTTGAAGCCATTTCCTTTTTTCCTATCACAACAGACTCCACTGAAGAGTCTGTCCCCTTCTTACAGCCTCTGTTTAGATTCCCTGGACCTCCAAGGCAGGAGTTCTGTTGCATCCTTCAGTCCCATGCTGATGTGATGGAGGCTACCCCAGTTAGACTGAATTCAGTGTTTAACATATAACCATAGCCACTTGGATTTCAAAATCCAGACCTACCCCTAAGCTTCCAGTTGATGGTAACTGCCTTTCATGATTTAGTCACCTAAACATACTTCCTTTGTGTTATTTTAAGCACTCTCAAGTACCCTACCTAGCTTCCAGCTGCTTTATCAGAGGTTGCAGGTCTCATTAGATCCCCTTATATCACCTGGCCCTGTGCAGATAGCTTGAATAGCCCACAGCATCTCAAGTTGCAGTAGATGCTTTTATGTCAGCCAGGGAATTGGACTGTTTCTGTCTAGGGCAAGCTGGTCTCTGATCTGATCAAGAACAAATGCTGAAAACACTCCTTTGTTATCAAAATATTCCAAAAGCGATCACATACATTAATACTCTCTCTCCTTCTGTGTATCCATCAAGTACAGTAAAGCCGACTGTAGCGTTCCAGTAGCACAAATAGCCAGCTCTGAGCCAGGTAACTTCACCCTGCCTTCCTGTGAAGCGATCCCTGCTGGCTGCATCAGAATTGAGAGCATTCCTGCATCAATCAGAAGAAAAAATACAGCCTAAGAACACACGGGGCTGGAGGGGATTGCTTGCAGGTTGTCTCTTGGGAGGAATCACCAAGAGGCAGACGTTTGTATGTATTTTCTGCCTCAGACGTTGCTGTAGAGAAACGTGTCCCTTGCCTGCTTCCACTGCTACTCTGCCAAAGGAGACGACTTGCAGAAGAGCTACATTTGTGCTGTTTTCCTTGTCTTAACAAACACAAAATGCTCTTGCAGCTGTCTGCGATGTGGGCATTAGCTTCCATAGAATCTACATGTTTGTATGCCATAAGAAGGAAACTAAAAAAAATTTAAAGCCAGTTGGAGTTCTTTTCACAGTGATTTCCAGCGATTTAGGCTTGAAATGAGTAACTTGAAAGCACCCAAATCCTTCGTTAATAATTTACATGCGAATAAAGCTGAAGAAATGCCTGGGATTCCAGCTACTTCATTTGATTGCCTCATGTTTACAGACTGTGGAGTTCTTTCAGGGAGCACAAGATGTTTGTCATTTGGGTTCCCTGGGATGTTGACATATTTTCCAAGGCTGATGGAATGCATTTGCATGTTTTTGCCCTACAGAATTGTATGGGCCTAACTTGTTTTGACATCTACATGTGAGTTCCATATTAGCCTTCAGACTACTATTGTAAATGTTGCTTTTAGTTATTGAAAATGGCTTCCTGCCTGCCAGGCAGACAGCATTCAAGTTTTCTAATTGTGTTTTTTTTTTGTGTGTGTACACATAGGGGTTTGAACTGTTCTTAGAAGATTAAGGAATAGTTTTCCTTTGAATACTCAGGGTGCAGACAGACGGCTCTGATGCTACCGGCTGGAAATACTGTGAGAGAGAAGAATGCTTTTTCGTGGAGCGTTTTTAAAAAACACTCTAAAGTAAATGAATATGTGTTGGAATTGATCTGGTCCTCTAATCCAATTTTCTTCAGAAATTTATTTTGTTCATATGCTGTAAGTTGCAAGGTTTAGTCATTTATCAGGTAGTTCTAGCTAGGATTTCTGAATCTTATGAAAGGTGTTCTCATTTGTGAGAAATGAGAAAGGTCTTTATCGATTATCTGAAAATTAAAAAGACAAACTTGACTTGCAAAAGAGATGCACAAGTTTTCACTGTTAACATTTGTCTCTATATTGCATGCTGCAGAAGGTAAAAGACATTTTTCTCTCGGAACTGTCATAATTACAAGTATTTCTTTTAGATCATGGTCTGTAAGGGGTAGCTTCCAGTTCTGGCCAACATTATTTGGACAGAAAAGATGTGTTATCTTCTTTGAGTCTTTTTGTCCCGTCCTAGTGCTCCTTGTATCTTTACAGAGTGAAATTCAGTTGCCTAAACATGGATATGGGTTGCCATTCCTAGAGCTGTAGGAGGCCTCATGGCCTGTGACTGGAACTCTGGCTGGGCACAGATCTGTGGCTGGCGTGGTGTTAGATCTGCCAGCTCCAGGCAGGGGACTGGGTCCTCAGCTGGCTTCTCTCCAGAATAAAGAAACATTAAAATTATTTTGAGCTCTGGTTTATTCTTCTGAAGTCCACAAACTTGAGTATAAGAGTGCTAGGGAGGTTGTTGCCAAGACTGAGCTGGTAGAATGGCTGTGTCTGCCCTGCCTTGAGGTAGCCCTGGCAAGCTTTGCCTTTGCCAGAGGTCAGCAAGCTGTAGCTGTGACTCCCGAAGGAGAATTCTTTCCCACATCCTTTCTCCTACAGCAACAGGAAAGGGAAATCCAAATCTTGGCTCTGTTTTGACCCTATTTGCTTCCTCCTACCCCTGTACTTCCCAGTGCAGAAACAACCAGCCCCAGCCATGGCCCACTGAACTAGGGAAAGCAAAGTTCAATTTTATTTATGTGACTGAGAGAGTTTGTCCTAGTTCTGAAAATATGGCAATTAGCAAATTAGCCTCATGTGGCTATTCTATTTCGAGGGCCTGTGCTCATCAGTGTGCGCGTGTGATGCTAGTCTTGTGCCTGTCTGACAGCTTGGCCTTGGCTCAGAGCCCTGCATTGTGGTGTGCTGCAGAATCAGAGATTTGCAGGGATTCTCATCCTTATGACATCTTGATCTAAAATGCTGGTCCCCCGCTCTGGAAGACTAGTTTAACTCTGATTTTCTACCTTTGGCCCTGCTCTAGTAGTATTTGCTGCAGATACATTTCAAATGTGAACGTTCATTTGCCGATAGGCATGATTTAGGACATTGTTTCTTGAGTAGTAAATGAAGAAACCGTAAAAAGTGTAATATATGAGAATATGTGAGAAGAGGAAGTCCTCAGTTCATGTCATTTCTCTCTCTGTGTGACTCTTTTGCAGACAGCACAGGATGGGTCATCCCTGAGACCTACACCAACCCGTATTCCTGTGTCAAAAGGTATGAAAGCAGGAAAGCCAGTAGTGGCAGCCTCAGGAGCAGGAAATGTGACAAAATTCGAGCCTCGTGCCGAGACTCAGTCTATGAAAATAGAACTGAAGAAATCTTCAGCCAGTGGCTCTGGCTCCCTGGGCGGGGGTCAGGGCTGATGGCAGGTTCAGGGGGTATGTTCTGCAGCTGTTACTGCTACCATGAACTACAGCCCCCTGTCTGTGGAGTTGTTCATGATTGTCCATACTAACGAAGCCCTTCACCTGTCACTCACAACCAACTAATGAGTGTGTGTGATGACTACTTGAGTAACAACATCCTTTTGTTTTCTTATTGAAGGAGGAAAAGAACCATCGAAAAGGCAGTGTACATCAGGAATACATTCAGCCTGGGAAGTGAGAATGGGCAACTTCACCAAGTTATTAATCCAGCCTAGGAATTCTTAATGCTTGACTTGGTAACTTTTTAATAGACTGAAGGAAGATCACTTATAAATAACTGTCTTCCATCATAACAGATCACTTTCTGTCCTGGCTTCTGTGTGGAGCACCTGCTTATAACCACAATTTTTAGATGCTGTGGTACCTAGGGACCTGAGCTTTTATTTCAATAAAAGCTAGTGTCTCACATACAGCAGAGGCAGAAAGAAGGGACCACAGGTTGTGACCAGCCTTGTATCTAGGAATTTCTCCTGTAGATCAGCTTTTCTCACCTGTGAGCTTCTTTTTCAAGGCAGTGACAAAATTCAGGGGAATGGGGAGGTTGCACAATTTAGGCAGCAGCAGCACTAAACAGTTATGTATTTCTTCCAGAACTTTAATACACTTGTAGTTAGTGCTTACAGCTGAGTCTCTCTTCTGTGGCTTAGACTGCCAGCTCTGGGGTTAGATGAAGGAATTAGGCCTAAAGGTGTTTAGTCTTTAAAAAAAACCTTAGAGAAACATTGATCTGACTACAGTCAATACAGTCCATTTGTGCATGCTCCAAAAACCATGAAAATCTATGAAGCTATTTGGTTGACATCACTGGGCTTGCAGTTTTTCTTGTTAGATGGACTTGTGCTCTGTAGATAAACTTGAGCTGTCAAGCATCCTTATGTGTTAGAGGGAGTGTCAACACAGATTGCTGATGGTAGCAGTTGCTACCTAAAGAGATAGTTCAGGTATGGTCAGGGAAAGAAAAAAGGTCTCTATGATCTCCTTTATGGTCAGTTCTCATTTGTTTGAAGTATTTTGTGTTAAGTACAGACTGCCTCAGAGTACCATGGAGATTCATCTTTCTTCTTCTCTCTTTTTGGTTTCTTCATTTGTATGTTTGCATTTTTAAGCATGTTTTAAGGAATTGTTCCAGCATGGAAATGGTGTGGATACTGATGATTGTTACAGTGATTTATTTAATAACACTAAAGTTATTAAAGGGCATTTCCTTTAAAGTAATCAATTTGCACAGAAGAAATTTGCAAAAAAAAAGAAACTGAGCAGACTGATAAATTTTGGTTTTAAAGCTTGTTTACCTCAACCACCACAGAAAGCTGTAAAGGACTGGTTAGGAATAGCTTTCAGAAGGAAAAGCAGGAAGACTACCAATAAATAATAAATACAATTCACGGAAAGGAAAATGCACCAGTGTGTGAAATATTAAATAGCTTTCTGTCTGAGAGAAGAAATTTGATGGAAGAATCTGCCACAAAAGGTCGACAAAATTATATTCAATCCAAACAGTGCTTAATCTTCAGTCTGCACTTTGCAGTGCTCTCCAATTTAAGATCCAGATATGGCCATTATCCCAGAATACAGCTGACATTTTATGATTAACATGAAGGACATTTTGTCTGTGATACGAAAGCTGCTGTCACATAGAAAAAGAAATAGACTTCCTTTTCTCCATCTCCATCTGTGCAGCACCTTCAGTACCTGCTAATTTTAAGGCTCTGTTTCCTATGGCACCTGGAAATCAGATTCAAATTTTTCATAGCACTCAATGCTCACTATTTCAGATAAAACTTGGAAACTGGAATTATCAAGCGATATGAGTTACCATTCCAGAAGTGCATCAGATCCTCTCAACTAATTGTTATAGGTTAAAAGCCTCCGTTTGACAGTAAATGGTTACTGAGATCTTACTGTTCTATTTGTAACAGAGACTTTTAAGCAGATGTTTGAAGAAAACTTATTAAGAGCTTTTAGCTGGATAGACCCTCTAAACACTGGCACTCAAACAAATCTTTAGTTCAAAACAATCATTTAAATAATACTGCAAACATGAGCCCCAAGCTAATGTGGTTACAGTGATGAACTACAGCTGGCTTAAGCCTTCCTTTTCATATCCTTTTTTCAAAGAAACAAGCTATTCCTTAGTTAACTTAACATTGCCTTACCCAGGGCAATGTTCTAAGTGTGCCTGTGGTTGAAAAAATGGTTTGTTTTGCCTAAGATCTGAGAAACTAATTCACCTGAAGAAATAAGCCAGACTTACAGTACCTGAAATCCAAGACACACACAAATTAGCACAGCTGAACCAGTACTGCAGACACAAGCTAGGAACTGCTCTATAGAGTCAGAAGGATTGTATGAGACAGAATGAGACAGATTTGAGAAATTCCAGACAGGTCAGACCAAGAATGCTGTTATTTTTCCTGGGAACAAAAAAAAAAAAAAAAAAAAAAAAAGAACTTTTGCTCCATAGCCAACCCAGCAGAACTGAAGAATTGGAATCAGGCAACTAGTTTGACTGTTAGCTATAGATATGTATTTTGTTGTATTCAGCATTTTTAACATGTTTTGACTGAGCTGAGATTCTTGTTTTGTAAAGGCAGAAAGAATGTAAGATGATGATACTTTTATTATTATTTTTTAAAAAAGGAAAGCCTGTAGATCAGAAGTCTTCAAAGTTGAAACTTAACTGTCTTTATTTTATTTGAATTTCTTCTGAATCTGAGGACTATTTTTAGTGACTACAGTAAGGTTCTCTGTTCAGTAAGTCAGCTCCAAAGGGTGATTTAGACAACCAAATCTAAATAGAGTCCATAATGCTCCAGTTGAGCTCCCAGCTTTCTTTGTATTGTCTGAGCACCAGAGACATGCTGAAGATCTACCTGAAGTTCTGCTGCTGCACTTGCCTACCAGTGTTGTGGCCCACCTAGAAGCGCAATCTCCGAACCTAACTGAAATCCAGATTCTAGGTATTCATGTCCTTTCAGGACATAAAATCAACAAAAAAGCCACAATTTCATGGTCATTCAAAGTCAGGACATAACCAACCACCAGAGTCAGAAGTTGTAGTCTTGTCCTTGGCAATTCCAACCCGAGATAATACTGACGTCCATCTGGTTGACCCATGAGTTGTCACAAGTGTTTCAACTTGCCTGGAGAACTGATCTGAACTAAAAGGAATCTAGCAACAGACAAGAAGTCTAATTTTAACCTAGCCTAGATGCAAGCTCTTGGGCCAGAAAAAGAAAGGGAGAAGGTGTGGGAAACCAGTAGCTGTTTTAAAGTGGTTGTAGAATCATTAATGTCTCCTAATAGATCACATACCACAGGGATATGTAGTAGTGTATTTATTTTAACAAGCTTTTGATTGAACCTGTCCTTCAAAGGCATGAGTCAGGACCCTCTTCTCAGCAGTTCCTGAGGTAATTCCAATCAGCTCCATCAAATTCAGCAAGCACTGACAGCTGAGAGACTGACGATGGCATTCTCGTTCCCTTCTGTAAAGGCTGTGCTGTTCTGCATGGAGGAGTTCAGTATTCATTGAGCAGAAACAAAAGAGTGGTTGAGTGATCAGGATATTGAAGTACGGGGGAAGTTCCCCTAGATTCAGGTCCCTGATCCAAAGGCTGCTTTTAAGCCTGGCCTTCTGTGAAAAGAAGGCTTCTAAGATGAAATGTCTGTGTTTATCCATCCCTCCATCTGTCCTCTGTCAATGAATGACATTGAATACATCCACCAGTTTCAGCCAAACTTGACAAAGCAACAGAGATCCCCAGAATAAGAAGTTCTTCACGTTTAATGAAAAGGGTGACTGAGAAGAGGAGCAAGACCTTAGCAGAACCCCACTGTGTGAAAGAATGCAGCATGAGCTCACCTTCAAGCAACATCAAAGAACAAACACAAGAGAGTGATGTCAGAAATGCCACAAGGACAAGCTTTTTTCAGACCTCAGATTTTACTAGGCACCAAAGAATCAAACTGTCAGACATAAATCCATAGGAAATTAATCGGGCCTTTATTTACGGGGCTTCTTTATGCGTATTTTACCATGACTGGGTTACAGTGCAGAAAACCAGCTTCCTCTGCCCAGGTGATCACCAGGAATTACTGATGCTCATTCTTTCTCTCCCTTTCCTTTTTCCCTGTATTGATTTTTTCAGTGAAGTGGAACAGTTTCAATAGCAAAATGCACTCAGAATAACAATGATAAATACAGTGCTGTTTGAAAGAGAGGAAGTACAGATTTGAATCCCATCAGACACAAGCAAAATCTCAACCCATAGCGCCCACATTACGAAATACTGCTCTTAACATGGACTATCTGTGCAAATGAAAATTTCCGTTTCTTTCACTGACTTTTAAGCACTTCAAATATTTTCAGGATATTGAGAGAAAGGGCCTGATCTGCTACTCTTTTCATGAGATGGCTGCTGCTTTGTGAGTGCCAAAAAGAGGAAGGAGCTTCTGGCAAGGCTTTGCAAGACACCTAATGCACAGAGGAATGGCGGGATTCAGAAGTTACAGCACTGTACTCTGCATTCCTGCTCAACATACCGTATCTAATCTGAACATCTCTTGCTGCAATCTCTGTCCTCATCCCTTTAAATCAGAAAATAAGTCAGTAATAGATGTTAACTAATCTGCATCCATACTTGCAACATAAAAAAAGGTTAGCATGCACCTAAATTCTGACATCAGCTTTTTCCCTTGTACCCATGCTAGTGCTAAAAAGGTCGAAGTTCAGACTCACTAGGAACAGATGAACATTTTTATTTTGGTTATGCTTCAATAAGAAGTGGAGAAATTATTTGTTCTGGCTGACATAGCCATACCCAGCCCATAAGGCTTAGGTAGAGTGACAGGAGAACAAGAGAGGTGCCAACGCATCCATGACAAGATACAGATCAGCATGCACTGATGTGTGAGATTTTGGTTCTAGACCCGCAACAAAGTTTTCTGCTGCATTTTCAAGATTAGATCCTGTCACCTGAATGCTGTTACTGGATGAGTATTGCTAATGTGGTCATGAGCAGAGCAATGTTTGCTCTTTCAGTCAAAGTATGACTGAAAATGAGGGAGCACAGAACTTCATCTCTAATGTTTAGAGGAGCTTTCTCATATTGTTAAACATACTAAGTAAACAGTAGAAGAAAAACAGAGATTCTTATTTATTTTGCCCACTTTTTTTTCCCTTTTGTGACGCCCACTAATGTGGTTCCTCAAAAAGCACAAAACACTTTTGTTACTCTTCTTAATATGCCCATAGAATACACATCACCATAGCAATTAGTTGCATTTGAGTACTCTCAGAAGTCACATGAATATGCTGATTCATGCCAGTTAGATGCCAAATCATGTTACTGCTTGAAATGTGCTACGTGTTCTAAAACATGTTCAATATTTACATGAACATTTTGTGATTCTGATCAGAAGCTGAAAGTCATGTCTTTAAAGAAGCAATCTACCATCCTGTGGCGTTTCAGGTGCTTGGCATAATCTGCAGCAGTCAAGACAATTTTCAGACCAATTATATGTTCCTATCAATTGCCAACTTCATTGAATCTGTTTGAAACCTGCAGTTTGCTGACAGAAGATTCTATGAGCTCATCTTTTGAACTTGTTTTCATTTAGGGGAATGTTTTTCTCCCCTTCATCAGTGTGAATTACCTTCTTTCCCTTAATTCTGACTGAGCATACTCTGACAGACCTCTATCCAACATTTCTCACTGAAGATGTTAACTTTTGATCTCCATTACTACCTATGCTGCCCTTACAAAGCTTTTTGGAAGATGCAGTGAGGATTAACTACTTTCAAATTCAGAGCTGTCAGCTCTGAAATTCAGGTACAAATCGTTCAGGTACAAATCATTCAGGTATGAATGGTTCCTCACTTTAAAAACTCTTTTTCAACGGGATTATAAAAATAGAAATACTGACAGATGATTCAGTTTTGTCACTTGGATGCGCAACTTTCTGTATCATTTGGTGTTTTTTGTTTGTATATATTGTAAGAAAAAATTAAACTTACATGCATACATTAAACATACATTAAAATGTCAGTTGATGTGCTTCATTATGAGAGTTGGTATTTTTGATGGGCCAGTTGCTAATGCTGTGTTTCTCTGAGATATTCCAGCTTACACTGGGGAGATGGAAATCAGATTGATCCTTTTTATTATGTATCTTTGTTCTCTTTTCCTGTCATTAAAATAACTTCAGTTGCATTTAAGTGAATTGATAGCTCCTTGAAATATTCAGACCTAAAAAATGTATGTAATTATATCCTACAGATACCATATTCCTACAGAGGTTACTCCTACAGAACTGTGACAAAATCTACCCTACTGTAGTTTCGATTTAATAACTGTTTGAATACCTCTTCTAGTAACTACAGTATGTAGTATGTAGTATGTAGTATATAGTATGTAGTATGTAGTAGTTTGAGCAACCTGGTCTAGAGGGAGGTGTCCCTGCCTATAGCAGAGGGTTGGAACTAAATGGTCTTAAATGTCCTTTCCAACCCATACCTCTCTATGACTCTGTGTAATAATGCATACATATACATATTATATGTAACAGTTTAATGCAAAATAAATTGTTAGGAAAAAAACAAAAACAAAAACAAACAACCTGGTCCATACATATAAATGAGTGTGAGAAAAAAATGAACAAGTAAATACTAGAACTGGAAGAAATTTTTTAAAATATTTTTCTGACTTTTAAAAAAATCATTATATTTAGTCTGCAGGACAGCTGACTCAGAAACCCACTGCATTTTTGCTCTTCATTCAGTATTGAGCATTCACAAGGAAGATGATATTTTCTACAGTCCATTTAGTTTTTAGAATTTTGTTATTAAACTATGAATAAATTGATTATTAAGAAAAAGTGTTTCCTATAGAATTCACGTGACTCCCATTGACACGAATGGGAGGTTTCATTCGACGTTATAATCTAATATTAAATGCAGCTTTTTGCATAATATTCCTCAAGAGCATGAAGTTAGAGAACAGCTCTGCCTGTAATTTATTCTTGCCATAGTTTGCGGTTCTTTAATATTCATTGCTCAAATTTCTGAGAATAAGCACACACATATTCCTGAAAATCATTTCTGAATGTAAATTATATAAAAATGAAATGCTTTCATGTAGGAAAATCTATTACTTCATTTGCCACACCTTATTTCCTTGGATGTTGCCTTAGCTGTGCTTTTCTCGGTCAACACACATAAAAAACCTAACTGGAACCTGCCATCTAGTGGCAACATTCTGGCATAACGAGTACACAAAAAGCAGTGACCTTTCTTTTAATGTAACTTACTTAAGCACCTTTCAGGTATTAGCAGACAAAGTCAACAGAAATCTCTAAGGGGATAATGGCACGGTTAGTACAATTTCTTGGGCTGCATACTTTTTGAAAAATCTTCAGGCTATTAAGAGAGGAAAGAATCTTAAAAAACCAACAACATTTCAATTAAAAAATGAGTATTTATGAAAACATGTTACTGTACTTCTAGTTAGCATCAGTGCATTTATATTATTTGAAGTGTGCAAAATACCTATTTTCAGAGATAATGTCATTGGCTGATAGCTAAATTCTTCTATTAAAAATTGCCTGTTGGAGCAGTGTATTTAAACAGAAAAGCTGAAGGCCAAGCTGTGAGCCAGCATTTTAAAAGAACCTCGAAATTAATCAGAGAGCTCTTGTGTTACACTCAGGACAAAATTAAATTGGGCCTTTCAAAGACAAGGCAAATATTTCCTTTTGCATACTATGGCTGGAATTTATATTCCAGGCAATAGCAAAATTCAGCAGACTTGCTGAATAAAAGCAGCATCAGATTCTAAGGAAAATTCAGATAAAAACAAATGACTACATACCTCTTTCTTAACCCCACTTCAGAATCACCAGCAGGTTTTTGATGATTTTGCTCAGATAGGATTCAAGATACCCAACTTCAAATTGTCCTCCACAGGATTCAGGTGTGGGGCTGAGCCTTAGTGTTCCTGTGGTTCAATTTATTCAGCTGTATTATTCTTTTTTTCCAAGTGATGGATTTGACAGTGAAGTGGGAGCCAAGGGCTCCAGAGCCCAAGCATGGTACTAGTTAGGTTTCCCATTGCAGCATTTAAACAGAGCATTTTTTATCAGACAGTGACATTAGAGAAAGGCTGCAAGGTATTTCCAGAAAAAAAAAAAGCACTTTGGTAATGTAATTGTTCTTCATGATAGTAACTTGTAATTTATTTCCAGTTTCATAAAACCAAATGTTTTGCTCTCTTTTCTTTTAGAGAGTGTCATCATTCACCAGTTACGCATGAGCTCTAGATGAGCTACCAGCACCCCAGTATTCTCTCTGTGTGCACTACCCTCCTTACCAGTTGGACGGATCACTGTAGAAGCCCTCTACCATCAACACCAGGGTCACTTGTGCTACTGATTATTCATGGGAGTATTTACTGCTTCCATTAGATTTTATGTATTCTTGGTAGAGCTTTAAGAACGGTATTTTGATACAGCCAGAGGGAGAGAAGCAGTCTTTCTGCCAGCTGAATTTCACTTTTATTTGCAAAGCCTGAGGCACGTGCTTGATTTTGTTTGCCATATAATTTATTTTTTTAAATACACTTTGTAAAGTAACTGTCCCAAAGTTGCAATTCCTGTTGTCCGTGGTGCATTTGTTTGTAGAATACACTGTTAAATTTGCAATTTGATATTTTTGTAGAGGAGAGAATGTAAAGAAATGAAAAAATAATTTCAACAGTATTTTCTGTTTAAATGGAAAAATACTCGGCGCAATTTTTTGCTACCATACGATTCTGTGAGACTAAATACTCTGATGACTGCTGTATGGAATTTCTACTATTGCAGAATATGTCTTGCACTGTGTGATGGTTTGGCATAAAATTAAGTATAAAGTCCAATGCCTTGAAATACAACTAGATTTACTCATTTTAGACGACGTAAGCCAGTTTTTAAAGCTGTGATTTTTTTCTATATAATGTATGTTTTTACTTATGCCTGTACCAAAAAAAAAAGTTGATTTTCATTACACTGTAACTAATAAATTTTCACAACTATGCAAATGTAATCAAGTGTTTCAATTTTAAATTAATTTTCTAAAGTTGGCAGTATTTGTGTGTCTTTGTGTGTAGGGACAGAATGTACAGCTTTGGAAGTTAATTTTTCTGACTGCTTCCCACTGCGGTCTCACAGTGATGTGTGTAGTAAAACTGGTTCTAATATTTGTGATACAAAGAGGGATCTGTCACCAAGTGCTTAATGACATCATTGTTTCTAACCTGGTACTCTCACTGCACTGGCAGATACATTTGCTTGACATGATCAGATTGTTCAGTGCAAGACTAATGGAACTGTATAAATGAGATGCCATGTGGTGAACTGTGCATTTTACACTGGCAGCTTTTCAAATAGCACCCAGAGAGCTCTGTGGCAGCTATACTTAAAATGATGTTTGAATGAACTACACATAAAGCTGGATAAAACCCTTGTGGAGTGAGTTTTTTTCTTATACAGCTCATAATTAATTGTTTTTAATCAAGTCGTTGGCACATATTTAAAATGCTACTTATTTAAATTGTAGATGCTACTGGGATAAACTGTTTTTTAGAAGAGAAAACAGTATTGCTTGCAGGAGATGCAATGTGGGGTGCCAGAAAAAGTGCATTAACTCAGTGTCCTACTGAGAAGAGTAGGCCAGTTACCTTTGAAGCTGGAATAATGCAGCAGTATGTAGTCAATTTGATCTTTGTGGTTTGGTTTGCTTGCCAACCATGGGAGCTGTTGGCTCTTCTTGATATGAGCTCTGCACTTAGTACTGAAATTCTAGAGAACCAGGACAATCTGGGACCTGGATGGACTTTTGTGGAGCTGATCTGCACTGGGAAGAGTTAGCTGATATGCAAGGGAGCTACTGGATAATCTAAACAAAACAAATGCTGTTTCTGCTTGCAAAACTCATTTCCTGGTATAGCTTTTCACTACACCAAAGCTTCAGCTGGTACACCAAGTTTGTTAAGGAGGCTTGTGGTGTTTTTTTGGGTTTTTTTGTTTTTGTTTTTGTTTTTTTACATCTGATAATGTGTGCTAATAAGCATAGCTGTGTCTGTAAGCAGTATTTTAGAGTGAGTTCAATATTCCAGCTTTCATAGAGTAATAAATTCAGAGCATGTTTAAGTGTGTGCCACATTTCAATTTGCGGTGCAGTAGAATGAACGTAGTACTGACCCCAAATCTCCTATTTTCAAAACACCACCTGTGAATCAAGAACTATCCATGAGTTCACCTGGAATGAAACTGCCCTGTATTTGAAAGTGACACTGACAAGCCTGACATGAACTTTTACATATGGGTAAAATCTAAGTACAGTCATACTTCAAAGTTGAGTCTGGATTTGAAAAGTCCCAATCAAGGAATAAAGTACTTTTCCTTGTCTGGATTTTAATATAAAGCTGATTCAGTATGAGTGTATGCATAAGCTGTCCTCTCTTGTTTTATGATCCCTAAACAAATACACAGACATTTATGGCTTCGCAAATGCATTAAGTTTTTAAGCTTTTAAAAAATAAAGATTTGTTTAAAGCATTAATACAGTCGTGGTGTACTTGAAATCATTTAGATTTTAATGTATGATAACGAACTGCATCACTCTAAAGAAGAATAGCAACCCTGGTCACAAAAGATCATTGCTGACATACACTGTGGCATCAACAATGCTGTTTTATGCAGATAGAATAATAAATTCTCTTCTGGTATTTTGCAGGCAGCAAAGTATTTCACTAAGGCATCCAGTCAGTCAAGTTCACGAATGCAAAGGGTGCTCTGATAGGTGTATTTCATCTTATGTATTTATGTTCCTGGCCATTTTGCACATTACCAAATCTGGATTTGCATCTAAAACAAATTAAGGAAGTGCATTAGCCACATAATTGGCTGATACTCTGGGGGCACTCAGGAAGAAATGTAATAATGTAGATTAAAAATGGGATGAATTTCTACAATCATTACCGTTAAAAAGGAAGTAATCATGAAGTGCTTTCACGATAAGACAAAGCAGAGACCACTTTGGACCTCAGAGAGCAGTAACTTTTGAGCAATGGAAAATCAGTGAATGATCTGCGTTTCCTTTAAAATACTGTAATTGCCTATAGGGGTTTCAAAGCCCTATTTTAGTATAAATACAGGTGATAAGATACGACTTCTATTAAAAAATCTGACATACTTTGACTTCTAGAAAAAGACTCTTCTACACTGTGCTTTCCATTTGCCTCATTGTGAAAAACAGTTGGACACAAAGAGGAGATAAAATTTTCTGTTTTGTAGAACAATCTGTAATGTAGAAAAGATGGTAGAAATAGAAAATGGAGGTTACTGCCCTGAACACTCCACTTTCTACTGTGAAAATGCTCAGTTTTAGCTCTTTTCTCTGAACAGCAACATTTAGTTCTATGTTGAATGCTTTACACGTAATGCTTGTTTATACCTATGTAGATTGGCTGACTGAATTAATCTGTTTGACACTTTTATTTGCCTTAATTGACTACTCTCTGTATTAGTGGTTATAACAGCATGAAGCTTTATTTCTTTAGATTTTATTTTAAAGAGCATCATTTTCCTAGAAATAAGAAGACAATGTGATAGAGTAAGTGCCAGAAGAAGATCATTCAGGGAGAGTTAATGAAATACAATTAAAAAGTAAATGCCAATTGATGGTCTTTTAGATTAATTACAGTACAGTCATTTTTGTAATATTTGTGTGGATTTAATATGCTTGAAATCAGCTTTTTGTCCATCAGCGCCCTCAAGTCTTTCTCTGCAAGGCTGCTCTCAATGAGTTCTCCCAGTCTGTACTCTTATCTGGTATTGCCTCAACCCAAGTGTAACACCATGCACTTGGCCTTGCTGAACCTCATTAGGTTCTCATCTTCCTGCCTTTAGAGCTTGTCCAGGTTCCTCCCTTCTATTGTGTAAACTGCACCACTCAGCTTGGTGTCATCAGCAAATTTCCCTACCAGAATGAGAGCCTGTGAGCATGATGTCTCTTGCAGATGAAGCAAGAAGGGGGCCTCAATCAGGTGGCCTGTAGTAGATCTTGACCACCAGATGCCCTTTATTAGTCCAGTCTCTAACTTTAACCCACAAGCTCTCAACTTGTTTATGACTGTTTCTCAGAGGCAGCTCCTTGCACTTCTACTCCACTTCTTCCCACCTCTCCTACCTCACCTATCCCTTCTAAAAAGCTCATAGCCCTCAGTCATGGCATTCCAGTTATGTGATTCGTCCCACCATGGTTCCATGATAGCAATAAGATAGTAGTTTTCCAATTTCACCATAGTGCAATTCCTCTTGCTTATTTCCCATGTTGTACATTGATACAGAGGCACTTCAGCTGGGCTTTTGGCCACGTTACCTTCTGGGCAGAGCCCTCCCAAAAACTTCTGGGACAAATCCAAGGTTATCCCCCCACTGCTTTCTAAAGTGACAGTGTTCCCTGAGTCTCCTCTGTTACTCAGCAGTACATCCCCACCAAATCTAGTTTAAAATCCTGGTGATGAGCCGCACCAGCTTGCTGCCAAGTATACATGACATCAATCATGCATCCATTCAATTCATTCAACTGGTCTGTTCTTCTCTGTCTGCCTGGATCCCCGTTCTCCAAGTAGAAGGATTGAAGAGAACGCTGCCTGCAAAAATTTGGTATGCGTTGGCCGGGAATCGAACCCGGGTCAACTGCTTGGAAGGCAGCTATGCTCACCACTATACCACCAACGCAGCTGCCAAGGTAAAGACCTAATAAATTAGATTACCTTCCCACACACTAAGAAGGATCACTATGAATGTATATTTTTGTTAATAATTTTTGTTCTTTATCTGTTTTTTCTTACGAATGCACACAAATCAATCTGAAGTGCACTATATTGCACAGCACCTCAGTGTAAAAATTCATGAGTGTGAACTTTGTAGGTTGTACTTGCTTGGATTTAAATGAATTTGCCTTAACATAAACCTATGCAATAATATTCAACCAAGACCTTAGCTTACAGGCAATAAAGTAAAACAGAGATATAACAGAATCACAGAATCACTAATGTTGGAAAAGACCTCTAAGATCATCTAGTACAACCATTCACCTACTACCAGTATCACCCACTAAACCGAGTCCCCAAGCACCACATTTACCCTTTCCTTAAACACCTCTAGGAACAGTGACTTCACCACTTCCCTGGGTAGCATGTTCCAATGCAGTTCAATCCACTCTTCCTGAAAAAAAATTCTTCCTAATAGGCAACGTTAACTCTCATCCTATTGCTATTGCCTGGAAGAAGAAGCTACCAAACTCCTTGGCACAACATCCTTCCAGGTGACTGTAGAGAGCAATAAGGTCTTTTTCTGAGCCTCCCAGTTCCCTCAGCTGCTCCCTGTGAGACTTGTGCTCCAGAATCCTCACCAGCTTAGTTGCCCTTAAATATCAAAGTATTCAAGCTGATGTTCTTTATTTCTCTAAAGAATGGAAGTAAGATTCCCCAAGGGTTGACAGTTTGTGCCCAGTGTATCTACCTGCACACAGAAGGTGTATTTGGTTCTCATGACAGCAGGCCCCACGTGATGAACCTCGTGCCAGAGTTCCCAGCACCAACCCAATTAGGACTGCAAAACATGGTGCCCTGTGGTGTCCTCTGTGTCTTTGCACAGATGGAGGGATGCCTTTCCATCAGGTTACTGTGATGGCTGCACTGAGGTGATCTTTCATTGATGGAGGCCATGAAGAAGCTGAGTGTCCAGGAGGTGACAGGGTGGCATGGAGGGAACATGTTGCTTTTCCATGAGTAGTCAATAAAATGCAGAGGACAAAAGGGCCCTCTTGAACCTGGCAGCATCCAAGGAAACTTCTTGTCACCTCACAGCACAGGTTTACACTCACTGATCCCTCACTGGATTTTCTGGGAGGCTGAGGCAGCACAAGTCGCCAGGCTTGATGACAGAAGACAAAAGATAATAGAGAAAAGGGTTGTAACAGGGGAAGGGGCTTCACTGCCTGAAGCTCAGAGGGATACATCAGGAATGAGATACAGCTGCAGCACATACAAGGGAAGTGTCTCACATGAGAGCCCTAGATAACTGCTTAGAGCCCAGTCATTAGAGCCCAAATTTTAGATGCTTTAAAATAAATAAATAAAAAATAGTGCTCCTGTGCTTCCTGTGCTGCCTGTGGAGAGGCAGGAGCCTGCACAGCCCCACGGCGCTGCTCCTCACCAGACGCCTGCCTCCCCGGCGCTCCCTTTTGGTGCATTTGATTATCCCACTTCATTTTTGGGGAACTATTCCTGTCTGCAGCCAGAGAGCATTGATTACACATGAAATCCATAGAACTATAAAATCAGTTGAATTGGAAGGGACCCTTGAAGGTCGCCTAGTCCAACCGCACTGCAAGGGACACCGTTAGTTCCAGCTGCTCAGAAACTCATTGCAGTACATTTTTCTAAAATCACAAAGAAACATCATTGCTTGCTGACAGCCAGGTTTTGGCCATGTTGACCACCCTCGCCCTCGCTAAATGAACTTTAAAAGGAAAGCACCAGCAGAAGGAGAAATACACAGTTTCAATATTGCGTTGCCTTGAGCTGTGCCCCTCTGGACAAAGCAGTTGCTCAGAAATACACGCACACACAAGGGTTGATAGTGACAGGACAAGGGGAATGGTCTTAAGCTGAGACAGGGGAGGTTTAGGTTACATGTTAGGAGGAAGCTTCTCACACAGAGGGTGGTGATGCACTGGAACAGGTTGCCCAAGGAGCTTGTGGATGCCCCATCCCTGGAGGCATTCAAGGCCAGGCTGGATGTGCTCTGGGCAGCCTGGTCTGGTGGTTGGCGACCCAGCACACAGCAGGGGGGTTGAAACTCAATGGTCATTGTGGTCCTTTTCAACCCAGGCCGTTCTGCGATTCCAACCACCGGACTCAAAACCAGCAGCGCTGAACATGAGCATGCGCAGAAACAGAGTGGACGGTAAATAAAGGCGCCCGTTGACATTACGCATGCGCTTTCCGCTCCGAGCAGGCGGAAAGAGACGGTGAGCGCCCAGATTGTGTCCTGCCGTTGCGCAGACACCGCTCTTGCTCTGAGCATGCGCAGCTTCGTCTCGGCGATCCCTTTCCGCCGGGACGCGAATGTTATGTCATCAACCGCGCGCCGTCCCGCGAGAGCGCAGGCGCGGCGTCCGTCGGTCACGTGGTGGGCTCGCGGGCGGGGCGGCCGGCGGTGTCGGCGGGTGGCGTCATGGCGGTGAACTACAGCGCTAAGGAGGAGGCGGACGGGCACCCTGCGGGCGGCGGGCCTGGCGGCGGGGCCGCGGCCGGCGGTGGTGGAGCGGTGAAGACCCGCAAGCCGGACAACACGGCGTTCAAGCAGCAGCGCCTGCCCGCCTGGCAGCCCATCCTGACGGCGGGCACAGTGCTGCCGGCCTTCTTCATTATCGGCCTCATCTTCATCCCCATCGGTATCGGCATCTTCGTCACCTCCAACAACATCCGCGAGTACGAGGTGCGCGGGGACCGGGCCTCCCCTCAGCTCTGGGCATGGGGAGCCGGGCCGGGCAGGGGGAAGAAAAGAAGGAAGTGAAGGTGACGGCTGTGTCGGGAGGAGGTTGGGAAACAGAGTCCGAGGAACTAAAATTCCTGTCAAGGAAAGGCTGAAGTGGAGGGGGAAATAGGAGCTTGAAGCCCGTTGGGCCGTGTCTGGATGCTGCATTTAAGCTTCTTGCCTGGAAGTGTGGGGGCATGCGCATCTGGAAGTTGGCACAGCTACTTCAGAGCACTCTGCTCTGTGCTTGACACACCGACTATCGATGCCACCTTACAGCCCTTTTGAAGGTGATGTAAATGCCTGTTTTCAACAGGATACTACACTGAGAAACATTTAAAAAAAAAGAAAAAAAAAAAAAAGCTGGCTAGCACTTTTTATGATGGTTTTGTTTAGAACAGATGTTTATTTATTAAAGTAACATGCAGTCTTATGCTGATGTTATGAGAAATGTATGTTTATCCAATTATATTTACCATATCTTCTCATTCTGATTGGATCTGGGTTGATCCTTAAGGATGAGAACTTCATCAGTTTCCTCCGAGTCCAGAACTGTAAATTACATTCAGGTTGGATGTTAGGAAGAACTTCTTCATAAGGATGGTCAGGCGCTGGAAGTTCTGTGACTCCTTGTAGATAGATCCCTGCTGTGTGTGTATTCACTGGAGCAGGTTGCCCAGGGAGGTTGTGGATGCCACATCCTTGGAGGCATTCAAGGCCAGGCTGGATGTGGCTCTGGGCAGCCTGGTCTAGTGGTTGGTGACCTTGCATACAAAAGCAGGGTTAAGACTAGATGATCCTTGAGATCCTTTTCAACCCAGGCCATTCTATGATTCTATGAAATGTTAAAGGCTGTGTCTGGTTAGCAGTTACTTATGTACTGCTGTAAAGCTCAAGCAGGAGCCACAAGGCATCTGTTCCCTTCTGACACGTACAGTTAGTGCGACTAACACTACCCTACACAGGCAGACTGCATCTATGAAGCAGTGTTGGCCACTTATATTTGGAAATGAGATAGCAGGTGGTAGTCTTCGGTCTCTTCTAGGTTCAAGGTATTAGAGATAGGTAAAAATGTTCCTAGTTTTTTATCAAGTGTGTTTATCATTTGTGTTGCCACCTCCCCCTGGAGTTTGGTCAGATTTTATTTTTCTGGGGATAGGGTTTTTGAGTTCTGTGAGTCTGATGTTGTGATCAAACAGTTCAGCTATGCAAGTAAAAGGTGGAAGCTTATTTTCCGTTCTTTGATTCTAATGCTTTTCTATAAAGTGTTTTAGTGCAAAAATTGTGGAGAGGGGAAGCATGCACAGCTACCACTGCACATCAAAAGGTCTTTGCCTGGTGCTCTGGCTTTTCTTAGTAACCTCCAGATGTTACTCCCAAAGAGCCACTGATACAACTTTGGGAGACAAGGCTTCTAAAAGCGAGTTGTGGTGACTGAGCTCATTTAGAAATGTAATTAGGGGAGGAAGCAGAGCTGCTTATTTACACACACCTCAGACAGTAGCCTCCTCATGAGGTGTCTGTGTGTGTGTGTATAGCAGCCTGAAAGCTTGCTGTATTGTAACTGAACAGGATGTATGATTGATGTCCCCAAATACATATTTGTGTGCAGTTCATATTATCCCTAGGCCTGTTCTGGAAATTGATGCTGCAGTTTCTGAGAACTGCACTGTTCTTATGTGGGTGCAAGCAGTGAGATGTGGCCTTTCCATTGATTTCCTTTAGAAGCTCTCTTGAATTTAAATGTGGAAGATGTCCAGAATCTTAAGTGTATGAGGATTATGGATTATTGTGTGTGTGTGCACGCTGGTTTTTCTCTATCTTCTCAGTTTCAAAAATGTCCATCATGGGAAATTGTTCATTTGAGAGAAATATGAGGAAAAAGCTTCAGAAATGTCTATTTTCTGCCCTGTATTATTAAAGGCCAATGTGGTCCTATTTTTATTTTTAGAATGGATAAAGAACTGCTGACAGCACATTAAAATGTGATACAAATTGAGCAATGTCCAGGACACTCATTGAACAGGAAGCACATCCCGGTGCTGCGACTGCTACTTGTGAATTGCTTAACAGTAGTTAAAACCAGACCCAAAGGCACTGCTAGGAATGAGGAACTGAGGTGAGGTGCCTGACTATTGTGTGCATCTTCAGTGGTGCGTGTGGTTCTTGTGACCCCATCACCAAAATGATGCAGAACTTAGTGAAATCTGCAGAGATGGATATAGGGAAGAAGAAGAAGAAGAAGAAGAAGGAAAAAAAAAAAAACAAAAAAAAACCAAACCAAAACAAAACAAAACAAAAAACAAAAAAAAAAAAACAAAAAAAACAAAAAAACCAGATTGGATGCCTTTTATACAAGAAGTGGCCAGGGACAGTAATTGCTGGTCCAGAGCAGAGGAGCTGAGGGGAGGCCTCATGGAGCTCCTTGCAGGGAGCGAAGGGCAGCACTGTGCTCTGCTCTTTGTGACAGCAGCAGGGCCTGAGGGAATGGCATGGAGCTGCATCAAGGGAGGGGCAGCTGGGGGTTAGGGACAGGTGTTGCACCACAGGATGGGTTGGCATGGCACAGGCTGCATAGGGCAGTGGACACAGGCTTGAGCTGTCAGAGTTTATGGAGCATTTTGAGCACTCTCAGACACAGGGTTTGATTTTGTGTGCTGTGTGGAGCTGGGAGTTGGACTTAGTGATCGTTATGGGTCCCTCCAACTCAGGATATTCTATGATTCTTCAGTAGCATACATTTGTAACAGCATGTGAAGCCTACAAAGAACACAGATGGTTTGGAGAATTCATATGCACGATAGCTGTGTTATTTCTGCACTACAAAAACAAGCGAGCTGAGAAGGACATCAACAAACTGACCAGCCATTGGGCCAGGAGATACCAGCTCCACGTGGGTCTGTGGTCTCTTGTTATTGCTCTCTGGAGTCCTGGTGCTGGGACATGTGGATTTCTGCCTTGGCTCCGTGCATTAGTTCTTGTGTTCTTGAAGCAGTGGTTTCATTATTTGTCAAGAGATGAAAACATATCTGTATTACTTTAGCTAAGCTGTCAGTGGAACATGTAAGGTGTTCTTCATGTAAGTGAAATTTTTAAATCTTGCTGGTCCTTGTGCTGCAGCTGGACCGAGCCTTGAAGGACTGCAGAGGCAGAGCTACTTATGCATAAATTCAGTATCTCATTTAATGAGAGGCAAAAATAATGCAAGCTGTTCCCCCACCTCACAGCTCCTGAATCTGATTTGTTTCAGCTGAGCTTGTCAGAGGAAGGTATCATCTGCCAGAAGCCTGGCAGTGGAACACAGGCTATTAAAGCGCCTTTGCTGAAGAAAGAGCTGCAGCTCTTAACAGATAGCAAACAATTTATGGGGAGAGAGACCTTGAAGAAGATCCAGAGGGAAATGGGCTTCAATTGTTCCTTAAACCTTGAAACTGCTTGTTTTATTTAACCTTAATATGGATTTTAGGACAGATCATAAATCATTCTCAGTAATGTTTGACTACAACCGTAAATCAGAACAAACCATTTGCAGCAGTCTTTCATAAAACTGAGCAGGATCTGTAGTTCAGAGCACTTTGTTTTGATAACTTGTCATGTGTTGTGCTGATCTGAGTTTCTAATTCTAAGTAGCAAGCATCTTTTAAGTGTAGGAATACTAGTTCATAGGCAGATGGAATCTTTGTCCTACTCATGGAGCTGACCTGCTGAACCCAATGCAGTTATTTCCTCCTGTTTGCATCCTGAAGCCATGCAGGAGAGAGCAACAAAATGCAGTCAAGGACTTCTGTTGTCAGGGGGCCATAGAATGAGTGCCCAGGTGCTCAGGATACATTATGTGTGTTGTAAAGGTAGCCTGAATGTGCAGGTCTCAGGTAATTTTTCTTGTTCTTGTTGCTAGACTATTAAAGACAGATACTTGATAAGCTGCATTAACAGCAATCATCTTTCTTTTTCATCTGGCATTTTACTATTCTTGGCATTAGTGTCTTCATCTTCCTTGTTTAAGGAGAGCTTTTGAGCATTAAGTGGTCTTTGAAAAATCTTCTAGCTGATTCTTTGCTGTCTAGGTTTAAGCACTGAAAGTTTTCTTATGCAGAACTTCTTTCTTATGAAATATCTAGGTAGGCTTTTAAAAACTAGACTTCTCTGGAAGGTGTGTAGCAGCTTAGATCTGCTTGTTATATATGAAGTGTGTTTGGAAATGGTGTGGTGCCTTGAGTATCTGCTCTGTGTGTTTTGGTGGGGTTTTTCAGTTTGTTTGTTTTTTCTCTTCCCCAGCATTAATGGCCCACACTGGTGCCAGATTTGTTTGAGGCTGAAACATAATATGTAGTCAGAATCACAAAATAGTTTGGGTTAGAAGGGACCATGAGATCATCAAACAGGGCTTTTGGAACTGAGATGCAGTAAGGTTGCAAAATAAATGCCACACTGATTCTCTGGCTTATTAATCAATTTTCTTTGTTTTCCCACTGTAAACTAATGTGAATATTTTTTTCTGTTATAGATCGATTATACAGGAATAGAGCCTTCCAGTCCTTGCAACAAATGTTTAAATGTGTCCTGGGATAGCACACCGCCTTGTACTTGCACAATCAATTTCACATTGGAGCATTCATTTGAGGTATGTAACCTTGCATGCAAAGTGAAATGAGAACTGCTGACATGGTTTATTTCCTAAGTAATAGGAAAGCTGCATTCCCATGGCCTTACTTCGTTTCTATCTTAAAGGATTGTTTCTAGTATTTCTATGAACATGGATATGATGGCTGTGTATCTTCTCAGAAACAGGGATGAGATGGTTTTTAATGCCTCTCTTTGCCTAGAATTGCACAGTGTTAAGTGGGATACCTTTTACACATCTGGATTTACTGTGTCCTAGTTGGATTTCATGTACTTGACATGTAGATGAGCTATTCCTGCACAACTTCAACTGAATTCAGCAGGAAGTGACAACACCAGGTGCGTGCTTTTTTGCAAACTGGAGGCAAATCATAGAATGGCCTGGGTTGAGAAGGACCACAATGATCACCTAGTTTCAACCCCCAAAATAATAACAAGATAAGTATTGGGATAGTACTGATGAATATCATGCTGCTGGTTTATGGCACGTTGATATTGTATGACTTCAGGTTGCCAGCTTTTGTTGGGATAGTATTGTGTACTCAGTATGAACAGAGTTGAGTCTTTGAGTGTTACTATAAAGTAAACTCAATTTAAGAGGTTAAAGTTCCAGCTCTCAGTTAACTAGCATCCTTGTGTGTTTTATTGATCTGTTGTGTGAATTCAAACCCCTCTTGTAGAGTAATGTATTCATGTATTATGGACTTTCCAACTTCTATCAAAACCACCGTCGCTATGTGAAATCGCGAGATGACAGCCAGCTAAACGGAGACAACAGCTCATTACTTGTAGGTATTCAAGCTTTGATATTAATAGGCAATGAACAACTGACTTGCATAAGTTATCACAGGGCAGAATATGGAGTTTAATAATAATGAAGCCACAGAATTTTTGTATTCCAGAAAACAACAGTAAGGAATTCCATACTTTTTATGAGAAAATGTAAAATGCTGTAATTTCATGGCAGTTGTTTGTTCAGTGGACAGCAGTGCAGTACCTCAAACACATCTCAAAATCGAATAGCTTTAAACTTTTCACTTTCAGATGATAGTACGTATGTGTACCCATTCATTTTCAGTATAAAATACTGTTACCTAACACTTGGTTTGGATATTGCAGCTAAATGCATTTGTTTCTATAGAATCAGGTTTGATACTGAGCATCAGCATTACTGGAAAATGTCAGTACTCTGTATTCTGCTCAAAGTACTGCATAGAGTCAGATTGCTCCTCCTCCTAGTTTTGGCAAGGAGTGGAAATACATGTGGATTCTGGCTCCTGCAAAAAGTGTTCCCCCTTTTTGGCATGTGAATTGAAAAAAAAAAAGCAGAGTTTCAGGAAGTTACAGCTGATGACTGACATTGGATTTCAGGTCACTTGCTTTTGGCATGATGTTTGTGTGCTTACAACCTTATTATTTTATGCTGGGCTTTGTTACTTACTGCAGTCTGTTATCTCTACCACTGGTGCATACAGGGAGTTTAGGGGGGAGGGGAACTTTATTAAAAGAATGCTGGAGTACTTCATGTTTCAGTTAGAACTTTTTTTTTTTTTTTCCTTTCAACAGTTTCCAAGCAGTCTGAATTTTAGAATGACCATCATGGGATTTTTGATTTTATTCATATTTTATCTAGATTATATTCCTGCTTGTAAAGAAAAAGAAATCAATCATATTGATTAGCAGTGAATACTGAAATATTGTAAATAAGCTTACTCATGAGAAGATTTTTGTAGTAAGTGTAAGCTATGCACACTGAAGTACTGAAGCATAAACTAGCACAGACTGATCTGCCCTTTTTCTTTCTAACTATCAGAATCCAAGTAAGGAATGTGAGCCCTACCGCACAAACGAGGATAAGCCCATTGCTCCCTGTGGGGCTATTGCCAACAGTATGTTTAATGGTATGGTAACACTTCTAAGTTTAGCATTTAGACGTTTTTGTGTTGTTGTGTATGCTTTGTGCTGTTGCTTTATCCTGGCTATTATTGTGGATTGTTTTGTTTTGAATTAACACACCTTAATTGTTTGGAATGTTCGGAATAAATGACCATTTTTTTTAATAGCTATCACAGTGAATTTAATCTGATAGCACACAAGGGATTGAAACATCTGTTGTGAGTGGCTGTTATGGCTATGGAATAGATGTAATAGGTGTATGTAGGTATAATGCATTGCTGTGGAACCTGCATGGATTCTCACAGAACAGTTTTTGATTGTGGCAGTTTTTGTTTTTCCTGGAGATGTTTTACTGCCTATCAGGATCGTTATCTAATAAAAGTCACTCTTATCTAGTTTTCCAATTTGATTTTCTCCATAGATACATTGGAATTATACCACGTTGAAAATGACACAAGGACTGCTATTACTTTGATTAAAAAAGGCATTGCGTGGTGGACAGATAAAAATGTGAAGTTCAGGAACCCTACAGGAGATGGAAATAATTTAACTGCACTCTTCCAAGGTCAGAAATATGTGAAATTTTAAGAAGAAAAGATTTCAAACACATTGATTGCCATGGATTTTTACCTCAGTGACAACATTGTAGTGAACATACTAATTAAAAATATTGTTCTATGTAGAAGTCCAAGCTAAGGGCTATTCTGCTGTCTGGAAAAGTTGTTAACAGTGGATGTTGCAAACTTAATGCAGAAGTGTTTTTGTTTTTTCTCATTTTACTGTAGTCATTTAACATGTAAAACAGAACCTGGGGTTATTTCCTTTTTAATCTTTCTGAAGTTTCATAAAAGCTCTTTCTGTCAGTTGCTCGGCATCAGATTAGTTTTGCTTTTGCAGCTAATCTAATTTGTTAAGATGGGGAAAAGATTCCTGGTTTAAGAGATATTTCAGTAACTTGCTGTTTGGGATATCAAATATCAAATCACTTTTTTTTTTTTTTTAATAAATTTTTATGCCTTGAACACTGAGAAAATCTTAGTAAGTGCATTGCTGTAATACATGGCTTTAACTTGAGAAGAAATCCTATGATTATTTAACCAAACGGTGTGGTTTTTTTTTAATGTTTCTTCTGATAGATCTTGCAGTACTGTTTAAAATCTGATTATTTGTGAATAAATTGACTGATTTCTCTCATTTGTAAGGTCAGATGTAATTAAATACAGTCTGATAAAGTCTTAAAGCAGTTTTCCTTTTGGGCTTTAGGGTCTGTGTGTATATGTAAGATAGAAGATAGCTTTAGGTTTAGCATGTGTGTTTCTTGCTTAGTCACAGCCAAGTGACCTTACCAAAGTGACATTACCCTTGGAAAGGCAGATACCATACTCTAATACAGTGTAGAATTGTATTTCCAGTAGTTAGCAAAAGCACTGCTGTGACATCATCTAAAGTACTGTATGTAATTTTATTTGCTTATGGTCCAGAAAGTAGTAGAGCAGGAGAGCTATGATCATAATGGAGAATTATCTCACAACGGTAGGGTAATATTTTGATAAGGCTTCCTATCTACATAAATGTATAGAGTGGGCAAACTTGTTTTAGCCATAGACAGTGCTGTTGTGTGAGTAAATGGATATACACTGCTGTTTAAACTGGAAACTCTGCAGGTGATAGAGGAATGCATAGACTGCTCAGAGTATCATAGAAGGGCTTGGGTTGGAAGGAACCTCAGGGATTATGAAGCTCCAGCCGTCTCACCACAGGCAGGGCCACCAACCTCCACATTTAATACTAGACCAGGCTGCTCAGGGCCCCGTCCAGCCTGGACTTGAACACTTCAAGGCACAGGGCATCCACAACCTCTCTGGGCAGCTGTTCCAGCACCTCACCGCTCTCTCTGTAAAGAACTTTCTTCTGATATCCAACCTAAATCTTTCCTCCCTCAACTTAAAACCATTTCCCCTTGTCCTGCTATTATCTACCCTTTCAAGGAGTTGACTCCCCTGTAAGAGTGGTTGCTAAGTCTCCCTCTTCAGATAATTTCAGAAACTGCCTGGGCATGGTCCTCAGCACAGTGCTCTGGGGTGTCTTTGCTCGGGTGGCGGTTGGGCCAACTGAAGTCCCTTCCAGTCTCAGCCATTCTATGAAAAGAAAAAGTTCCTGAACAGTGATCTTCTGAATTCTGTTTAGAATCTAAACAGTAATCTTGCAGTGAGCCAGCCTGGCTCTTCATACTACTTAGGATTTAATGTATGTTTTTTGTGATACTAGAATTAATTTTGGTGATCTAGTGCTTCCTTTAGTCCTGTGTTTGAAATGCTTTATTGTTTTTGTTTCATCTTAGGTACAACAAAACCAGTAAACTGGCCCAAACCAGTGTATATGCTGGACTCTGAGCCTGACAACAATGGCTTTATCAATGAAGACTTTATCGTGTGGATGCGCACTGCTGCTCTGCCAACGTTTCGTAAGCTGTATCGTCTCATTGAAAGGAAGAGTAACTTACAGCCTACCTTACAGGCTGGAAAATATTCTTTGGATATCACGTACAGTATCCTTTGAAAATGCCCTTAAAAACTCCTTAGAGCATTGGCTGGGTTACATGGGTATACTTCTGAGGAAGTTTAAATCAAACAAAGCTTTATAATTACTGTCTTCTAAGTATAGTTTATAGAACTAACCTGTGTTTGTTCTGTTAAGATCATGAAATTCAGTTCCATAGCTTCTTAAGAGGAAATGACTGGGTCAGTTTGACTTCAGAATCACCATCTGAAGCGTGGAGTTGTCTGAACTAGTTAAGAGTATCTTTTGGAGGGTATTACTCTTCTAGAAGTGTAAGATTTTCTCCTGCCTGATCAAGAGGGTAGAGGGAGGAAAACACAATGCTGTGGAGACAGCTGGATCTTCAGACACAATCTAATATATGAATGATTTGTAAATTTGTAGTCTTATTGCAAGGTTTTTTTTTTTTTCACTTGGAGTTAGGCTTATATTCTTTAATGTTTGTACCATTTTAATCATGATCTTAAACTATTATGTAGTTCACATAGAACTACATTATGTATTCAACAAGAATGAAAATATTCTGTGGATTTTTTTTGTTGCTCTTTCTGTTTTTGAAGACAAAACGGGACAAAATATACCACCTCACTCTTCTGAAGAGGCATTGTGAGAAGACATGTTAATCATGGGGAAGATTTCAGTGTAAAATTTGCCCAGTAAGCAAAATTTTGAAGGACACTAGTGTCTTCTCAGTATGCTTGAGTGCTTAGAGGGGTATGGTCAGTCTCATTCACCCCTGGTCTCGCACAGCTTGTTCACATATGTGGGTCCCTGCAGTCCCTGCTGACTGCTTTGAGAGATTGAGACTGAAGTCTCTGAATGGGAGTGTTTTCATGTGATAACTTTTGGGCAGATACAAATGCAGACAGACTAACAGGAAGATGCACCATAGCCATAGTTCAGGTGATGCTTGAGCTGATAAGTCTTTTTGAAAGCTGTTACTTGACCTAAGTCACAGGTTTTATTTTTAGTTTGTAAAATCCTGTATGGTCATACTTCATTTACACTCAGGCTGGTAGCGCAGTCAAATGCAGTGTACATTTTTACTTTTCAGTATATGTGCTGCTCATCCTTTGCTTTTCTGTGGAGTGCTTTGACACTGAAGGGGATTGAATACAAGGGGAGAAATTTCTCAGGGGTGCAGAAATTTAGCATTCATTCAGGAGTTGGGGCCTACTTTGCCTCTTCCTGTGGCTTTGTGTACTGTTGTCAGATCACTCTATTTGTAGACTTGTTCCACAGCAACCTTTTGCTGAGTGATTGCTCAAATCTGTGCATAAAGTTAAATTGCTTGCTTCACAATGAGAGAGAAGTTTCATGTCTTCGATGCTGTAAAGAAATTGAGAGAAAAATACAGCACAAGAAAGAATGGAAGACTTGGTAGCTTAGAAATTTGAGTATACATTCTAAACCTGTACTCTTCAGGGCATAATGACAGTATGTAACCTAGGGCAGGCAGAATTTAGAGGTGAAAATAAGTCCAGAACTGTGGGTCAGGTGCACATCTGCCATTCCTTTTTGGGCAGACAAAAGAGGTAGTTATGTAGGAAAGTAAAGGAGGCAGGTTGTCATAATTACCGAATTCTTAAAACTTGAAAGCTCCTGAAGATCATTTGAAGAGCTACAGCAGTATTTTTCTTCCTTTCAAAACAGCAGGGAGTGTATGTAAAATGGAGTCAACATAAAGTCACTAAGAAAAACTCAAATACAAATTTCAGTTCTTGAGCGTATTTCCTTTGTTTTATTGAAGGTGCTTTCAAAAACCCATGGAACTATCCTCTTTGTAGGAGAAGAGAAAATGCATAACATCTGGGGCATTTTTCTTGGAGTAGTTGATGGTGCCCAGGTTAGTCTTTGCTTAAAAGGTCATCAAAATTTTCAGTGTTTACACTTTGAATATTCAAAGAATGATGTTTGTATTGGGAGCCTGAGTGAGATGATCTGGCGTGTTAATGTGCATGACTAGGCTAGGTTTGGAAATGCACTTCATGTTTCTTGTTTTCCTATACTCCTTGTTTTCTCTCAGATTATCCCGTGCACAGTTTTGATGGACGAAAAAGAATGATCCTAAGCACCATCTCATGGATGGGAGGCAAAAACCCCTTTCTGGGAATTGCGTACATCACTGTTGGGTCCATATGCTTCTTCTTAGGAGTTGTATTGCTGATCATCCATCACAAATACGGAAATAGAAACACTAGTGCAGACATTCCCAATTAATCTCGCATTTTGAAAGCAACCATGCTGCATGTGCATCAAGGCCAGTCCAGAACGGACTCAGTTGTTGGAAGATAAATCTCTGCTAACGTCACTTCTGAGGCTGGGTATATAATTTTATCTAAAGACCTCCTTTTCCCTTGCTGTGAATTAAATCTCAAAATGACGGGTATACAATTAACTGCATTGACTGTATCTCTGCATACATCAGAAACATTTTTCTGATGTTTGCCTCTAGCTGGGCAGGCCACTTGATGCATGTAGCCCTGGTTCCCTTGATGCATCTGCTGCTTGTCATGTGCTGTGTAATGTCAGTATGATTCAGTACATACAGATTGTGGAGAAGACCATTGTAAGATACTGTGTAAATTGTTAACTTAGCAGAATTTGAGTGTCAGTGCTGTTGAAAGGAAAAGGCAAGTCTCAAGTGTTTTTTCGATTTACTGTCTTGTGTGCATGGACTCCTACATTTCTGGCTGAGATTTTAATATATTTATATTAGCAGTTAAATGTTTTTTCCTGTGTCCTACCCACCTTTGTTATGTTACATTATTTAAAGGCAGTGCAAACTGCAGCACCTGGAATTCCTTTTAATAGTTGCAACAGATGTGCCTGGCCAGTAAAACAGCATTCTATAAAGGCATCGGAAAGCCTATTTGTGAATTATCTGTATGAGTTCCTCTTAAATTTTGTTCTAAACTGGGAGACATTTGTTGCAGGTAGAACCTGCGGTTTTGTCATTTTCTTTGCTTTAAGTTATATCCAGCAGTAGTTTTCCTGATGTGCTTGCTAGTTTTACTTTTTAAAGATTATCTCCAAGCAGTAAGCAAGATGAACCTAAAATGTCTGTTCCAGTCACAAATTTGAGCAAATTCCTTTCACTAACAGAGTTTATTGAAATGTGTATTCTGCTGAGTAGGCTTTGTTGTAAAGGAAATCTCATGTTCTGTTTCCTTATTTGGAGTAGATGCCACAATAAATTCTTTCAGTGTTGAGATACTGAACTGTAGAAATGGAAGAGTTGAGATGACAGTAATCTCTGTTATTCCAGTGCAGGTTAAGTTTGCAGTGAAACATAATTGAAATATTGCAGTTAGAAGCGGTGTGAGTTTTAATGTCTTAAACTACAGAAAGATTCACTTCCAGGTTAATTTGAAGCTAGCTAATCTGTAAAATACTATTTGACTTTTTTTTTTTTTTTTTTTTTTAGATGATGCACAGAAATTGTAATGTATATGGTGGAGATCACTTTATATGCAACTAGCTTCATAAGTACTGAGTGTATTAAAAAGACCTAATAAATTCTGCAAACCATTTATTAAGAGCTTTTACTTTGTTCTTGAACATGCATTTATTTTCATCTGGATGAAAAGACATTAAGATTGAATGCATTTTACGCAGATTATGTTTCTCACTTACAAAAAAATCAATGTAACATCCATAGCCAACTTTATACAACACTGTATTAATTTAGCACATAAATGCAAAACTATTTTTACTCAATTACTTGTGTAATCTTTTTCAGCTAGCAGTTTAAGTGTATTGGTCTGCATACACTGCAGAGTGAAGCAGTGTTTCCATGGTGCTGGTTTTCTGTATAAGCATGTAATTTGCTTACACAGTATATTGTGGAAACACAGGGCTCTTAAATCTTCTAGGTTTTTTTGTAGTGTTGTGTCTGTTGCTGGAACTATAGTATAAGGATATATAACTCTGTATATTGCAAGGTTGAAAAGTTGCACAAAATTTTAAGCTGGTCATTCCTCTGTAGAAGAGTTTAGTCAAAACAAAGTAAACAAGTAAGGAGATGTTTTCCATTTACTGCTTATTAAAATATTTTGATTTTTAAACTGTTTGTCATTTGAAAGGTAAATGTTTTGCTTTATTCATGACCCCTTATCTTTTCTGAGTAGGGAATGCTGTTTTTTGGGGCTATGTTCAAAATGGAAAACAATATTTTTCTATCTCTACCTTGAAATGTTTTTTAGTGCTTTTTCCTTTTCCTGTTGACCACAGCTGTCAATGCTGTTTGGATTTTCCTAATGAAGTGCACCAGGATAAGAATTGCTGTCTGTTTGGTTCTTGCTACAAATAAAGTGTTTTTCTGAAAGCCTGTAGCACTAAATACCTGTCAGACAATATGAACACTATGCCTGAGGAGCTCAAAATATTAGGTGAAACTTGGCATCTCTTGTTTTACTCTTCTACATTTGCCTCAGGAGCATGCAGGTAACTATTGAGATTCTTGGATTTTGTATTTCCTGGAGGCTGCCAATGTGTCACGTGTTCAAAGATGAAGCCACAGTGTCCCTATCTGACACTTGTCAGAGCAGTGTCACTGTCCCAGTGCTCAGTGCCATGCGTTGGACCTGACCACTTGTGACCTTGGTTCTTCAGTGGCATTCATCCTGCACAACTAGAGAGCGATGCCTCTCCTTTCCAAGTGCCATCCAGGCACTTTCCAAATCCCACCCTGTTCAGGCAGTGCCCAAAGTGTGAGATTATAGGCTTCCTATAAGTGGGTGGTGTTAGGAGAGCCCGCTTGTGAATGAATCTTTCTTGGAGAAATTAATGTGGGAAACTAGGATGTGTCTCTGGCTTATGCAGGAGCTTTTTAAACAAAATCTTTTGCATGTGCCTATCTTTCTTCCAGACTTGTTGAGATCTACATAGCTGTAGCAAAGCAGAGGGCCCCTTGGGTACTTCTAAATTGCCTTGGGCTATTTGGAGAGCTGTTGGTTGTGATTAGTTGAGTCAGAGGGAAGAGTTACCACTTTAAAACTTGAATGTGAAGAATCCTTTGTAGTCTTTGCCTCTCAAGGTACCAATGGTAGTGAAACTGCACTCTCTGCAGCCTGATTTTGCTTTAATTATGAATGTTATACCTTGAAGAACACAAGCCTTGCCTTTTTATAGAAATCTCCTTGGGGAGAGAGGCCATGACAATCTAATGTCAGGTAACATTTGCTTGAGTCTGCCAAGCAGCACAAGGAAAGATCAGGTGTTTGCCCTGAGTTCACTGCAGGTGTTAATGACTGCACCTTTCTCAAATGCTCTTCCTGCACTGGGGCAACATCAGTGTTACTCATCTGTAGACACACAGATATTAGATATTCAGCTGAAGTGTCTGATTGGAAAAATGTAACTAAACCTAACACAGAATATGTACTCAATTAATTTAAAAATAATGTAGAATATACTGATTGGAAGGCAGCTGCTTGAAAAGGACTTGGTCCTACATAAGACTGGTATCTTTTGTATTTGTTGTATAGGCGTTCTGTATTTGTTACCATAGGTTGTTCTCTGCAAATGAACTAACTTTAAAGAGTTAGAAAGGAAGAGGGCAACATTGCAAAAGCCTTCAGCAATGTCCCAACAGTAATAAGTACTTCTCAAGGTATATCAAGTCCCCAGAAGGGACTATTGGCCTACTTACAATGAGTTACTTTAAATAAATAAAGGGACATTTTGAATACCTGTGTCTGTGTTGAACAGCCTGCCAAAAGAGAAATCTTGCTTGGTGGGGGGAGGAAGTGAATGGTCATGCTACTCTTATTCTAGCTCTCTTTTTAGCGGTGTGGTCAGTTTATGGACTCCTAAGATAGAAGGTGTGGTTTTATCTCTTCCTCAGATTGGCAGAAGCACTTTCATGTAACAATACCATGCATTGTAGCTCATAGAATATGATCCAATTAGCATAGTACCTCTTATGCCTTAAATGGGCAGCTCTGACAATTTTGATTTAGACTGACTGTGATCATAAGCCTGATAAGAACTCATATCGTTATAGGACATGACTCACAAATAAGAAACTCCCTTCTGCTCAACCAGCACTTGAATGATAGTAATGATGTCTGTTGCTTGAGTTTATGCTGATTTCTGCTGTTTGAAATAATTGTTCTCATTTTATGTTGGGAATAAGTAAGCAGAAATAAAAGAAGCAAACTTAAACCAGAGTTACATGCAAGGCTAACCGATGGTGCTTGGATGTCACAAAATAAAATGGTGAGATATTTTAAGTAATGTTAGAGGGCCAGGAAGATGATTTATGATCTCATTAGTTCTGTTGGGAAAATATGAAAGGCTGAGACATAATATTCTTGGAAGAAATGAAAATATGATTGTTTCTAGGCGTACATCCAGAGTTAAGTAGTTAAATGAGTATCTGCTTCACAGCAGATGCTTATAAACATTGGAACAAATCCTTGTTCAGCTTCGTAGGGGGAATGATCAAAGAAAGATATGAAACTCCCAATGCGAGCCACTGTATGAAGCTTCTGTTTTGGGGGAAAGTTCCAGCTTCTTACTGCAATCAGGCAGAGATTCTGTTTAGCTGGAAGTGATGTTATTCAGAGCCATGTCTAATCCTGACTGCTCTCTCTTCAAGCTGCTGACTCTGGTGATGAAAGCAAACTGTGTGGCAGAATCCCAGAAGGCAGCTGCCTGTCTGTCTATGCAGTGCCTACAGCAGTATTCTTCCCAAAGAAGATGTGAAGTTGAAGCAAGAATGAGGGACCTATTGCATGGCAGTCCGTAAATGTCCCAAGCCCTGAAGCAGTGCTTATGCTGTGTAATACTAAGTTATTTTAATGCAATTTTAGTGTATTCTACAACTGAGAATAACTTAGAGAATGATTCTAGTTTTGTGTTTTCTCTCATCGTGAACAATATGGCTTTTAACTGGGCACATCAATTAGTTTATATGCAAGAAAAAATTATGCAGCAGGCAAGCAAGCCTGTAGGAGAAGCTTAAATATTGTCTTGTCCACCTATCCTACTGCCCCAGGGCTTTCCACTATGACAGGTAGGCCAGAAGTGAACTCAGATGTTTGTGTATCTTTTTAAACCCTGCTAAAAAAAGATCAAACTACTAATCAGAAATAGATGAACAGCCCTGTTCAGGCTGGCTTAGACAAAACATCTTAACAATGAGTTCTGATGATCAAATTCATTATTCTTTAATACAATATATATTAAAATTTATCTGTTAGGGAAAATGTGTCTGACTTTGCTTCTAGTGAAATGCCTTTGCCCTGTGGCTGCAAGATGTCATTTGTCTTCCCTCAAGCTGTTTTTTCATGAAACAGTGAATATTGAAGGCAGCCCTTCTGCTTGTGTCAAGCAACCCCCTGTAGCTTTAGTCCCACCAAGCTTTAAGTGTGAACTTCAGGCAATAGCTCTGAAGCTCATATTCCGACTTACAGGAAATAGTTCACATAGCAAAAATGAAGCAACATTTATTTTGCCACAGATGATGATTCTTTTATTAATACTGTTTAAGTAATGCATCCGAATTCTTCCTTTGTTGCAATGCATCATTTTTCTCTATGGCTGTGCTTTATAATTGATATTTTTAATATTGCACTCAGTGCAGGCTGCGGATAAATACCTTTCCATTTTTGCATTTTTTTATAGCGCCTTTCTGATAGGCAGCTCATGGCACGGGGAAGTGTTATGCTTTGGGAAATAGTTTGTTATTTCTGTACTGGCCGAACGCTGGTTTTGTGTCTTTGACGTAGATTATTCATCCTCAACTCTGGGACCAGCACGAGCACTTTAAAATGACAGGACTTGAGTGCCCTGCAACTACAGGGAGCCAGAAAGTGGCGTTGTGGCAGCGCTGTGCTGCAGGGTCAGGCAGAGAAAGGATACGAAGCACTCAGGGGCAGGATCTGCAGTGCAGAAACCAGAGGCTTATGGAACACCTTCCTAAACGGTGAAAAGATTCCTCCTTCAGATTCGAAGGGGTTCCACACAGTTCTGGTATTATTTCAACGTCTGCAATTACACACTGTGAATCACTTAACTGACTTCTGAGTTCTGCTCGCAGGTACTCAGTACCCTCGCCTACTGATGAAGGTGCGTGACTACGCTTTCTACCTCCTCCGCCACAGCCGGGGCTGCCGCCCTTATCCCCGCCCCCTCGGGACTGACCCCCACAACCCCGGCGCTGGCGGCCGCCATTTTCTCGCCGCCTGCCGCTGCGGGGCGGTGCTTCGTGCCGCTTCCGCTTCCGCTGCCCTTGCTGCCGGCAGGAGGTGAAGGGACCAAGAGGCGCGATGTGGCGGAAGCTGTTGGTGAGGGGCCCGGTCCCACGGGCCGGACTGAGGGGCAGCGAGGCCTGGGGGATGGAGGGGGCCGCACTGCTTTGTGCGGAGCCGAGCTGAGAGCCGGGCGCTGGGGCTGTGGGCGGGGGGCCCTGAGCATCTGTGCGTTCCCGCTGCAGACAGGTCCTGGGTAGGGCACGGCACGGCGTCTGCAGGCAGGGAGGCTCCCGCGATGGCTTAGGTGAAGCCAATGGCTCTTCCTCCTTCCATCTTAATCTTAAAAGGAAATGGCTTCTGTGCCGCTGTGGATATAACTAAAAGATTCCACTGTTTCTAAAGTACCGTTTTTTCTTTATTTTAGAGTATTCGCCAGGTTTCCCAGAGGACCATAAGCACTGCTTCGCGCAGGCCACTGGAGAACAGAGTTCCTGAGAAGCAGAAGCTCTTCCAGGTATTGAAAGAACTCTGACACGGTGATGAGGCTTTAGCAGATTTAGAGTTGGAAGGGACCTCTGAAGGCCATCCAGTCCAACTGCCCTGCAGTGAACAGGGGCACCACAGCTACATTGGGTTGTCCAGGGTCTGATGCAGCCTTGCCTTGAAAGTCTACAGGTATGGGGGCATCAACCACATCACTAGGCAACCTATGCCAGTGCCTCACCATCCTCACTGTAACAGATTTTTTCTTATGTCTAACCTAAATCTACCCTCTTTAAGAACAAAACCATTTCCCCTTGTGCTGTCACCACAGGCTTTGCTTAGGCTCTGCTTCTTTCCTGTAGCTTCCCTTTAGATACTGGAAA